CAATGGTGAAAAACTGAAAGCATTTCCTCTATGATCAGGAACAAGACAAGGATGTCCACTCTCACCACTATTATTCAACATAGTTGTGGAAGTCCTAGCCATGGCAATCAGAGAAGAAAAATAAATAAAAGGAATAAAATTGGAAAAGAAGAAGTAAAACTGTCACTGTTTGCACATGACATGATACTATATAGAGAGAATCCTAAAGATGCCACCAGAAAACTACTAGAGCTAATCAATGAATTTGGTAAAGTAGTAGGATACAAAATTAATGCACAGAAATCTCTTGCATTCCTATACACTAATGATGAAAAATCTGAAAGGGAAATTAAGGAAACACTCCCATTTATCATTGCAACAAAAAAATTAAAATACATAAAAATAAACTTACCTAGAGAGACAGAAGACCTGTATGCAGAAAACTATAAACACTGATGAAAGAAATTAAACATGATACCAACAGATGGAGAGATATACCATGTTCTTGGATTGGAAGAATCAATACTGTGAAAATGACTATACTACCCAAAGCAATCTACAGGTTCAATGCAATCCCTATCAAATTACCAATGGCATTTTTTACGGAACTAGAACAAAAAATCTTAAAATTTGTATGGAGACACAAAAGACCCTGAATAGCCAAAGCAGTCTTGAGGGAAAAAAACGGAGCTGGAGGAATCAGACTCCCTGACTTCAGACTATATTACAAAGCTACAGTATTCAAGACAGTATGGTACTGGCACAAAACCAGAAACATAGATCAATGGAACAAGATAGAAAGCCCAGAGATAAACCCACGCACCTATGGTCAACTAATCTAAGACAAAGGAGGCAAGGATATACAAGGGAGAAAAGACAGTGTCTTCAATAAGTGGTGCTGGGAAAACTGGACAGCTACATGTAAAAGAATGAAATTAGGACAGTCCCTAACACCATACACAAAAATAGACTCAAAATCGATCAGAGGCCTAAATGTAAGACCGACGCTCTAAAACTCTTGGAGGAAAACATAGGAAGAACACTCTTTGACATAAATCACAGCAAGATCTTTTTGGATCTGCCTCCTAGAGTAATGGAAATAAAACCAAAAATAAACAAATGGGACCTAATGAAACTTCAAAGCTTTTGCACAGCAAAGGAAACCATAAACAAGACAAAAATACAACCCACAGAATGGGAGAAAATACTTGCAAACAAATCAACGGACAAAGGATTAATCTCCAAAATATATAAACAGCTCATGCAGCTCAATTTTAAAGAAACAAACAACCCAATCCAAAAATGGGCAGAAGACCTAAACAGACATTTCTCCAAAGAAGACATACAGATGGCCAAGAAGCACATGAAAAGCTGCTCAACATCACTAATTATTAGAGAAATGCAAATCAAAACTACAATGAGGTATCACCTCACACCAGTTAGAATGGGCATCATCAGAAAATCTACAAACAACAAATGCTGGAGAGGGTGTGGAGAAAAGGGAACCCTCTTGTAGTGTTGGTGGGAATGTAAATTGACACAGCCACTATGGAGAACAGTATGGAGGTTCCTTAAAAAACTAAAAATAGAATTACCATATGATCCAGCAATCCCACTACTAGGCATATACCCTGATAAAACCATAATTCAAAAAGACACATGTACCCCAATGTTCATTGCAGCACTATTTACAATAGCCAGGTCATGGAAGCAACTTAAATGCCCATCGACAGACGAATGGATAAAGAAGATGTGGTATATATATACTATGGAATATTACTCAGCCATAAAAAGGAACAAAATTGGGTCATTTGTTGAGACGTGGATGGATCTAGAGACCGTCATACAGAGTGAAGCAAGTCAGAAAGAGAAAAACAAATATCATATATTAATGCATGTATGTGGAACCTAGAAAAATGGTACAGATGAAGTGGTTTGCGGGGCAGAAGTTGAGACACAGATGTAGAGAATAAACGTATGGACACCAAGGGGGGAAGCCGCAGGGGGATGGGGTGGGGGTGGGGGGGTGATGAATTGGGCGATTGGGACTGACATGTATACACTGATGTGTATAAAACTGATGAGTAATAAGAACCTGCTGTATAAAAAGTAAATAAAATTTAAAAATTAAAAAAAAAGAAAGCTGTAAATAGTCTCCTCAAAATAAATAAATAAATAAAATAATTTTATTTCCTATGGAAACTCTGCAATAGAAGAAAAATATACTGACCAGTCCACACTGCTTATCTACAGTATTGCAAATGCAGTCATGAGCTTTAATTCTAGATTTCCAATCTTTTGATTTAAGTTGGAATTAGTATCCCAAATCATGATTATCAATGAGTGAACTGATGAAACCAAGTTTCTGGCTCTAAAATGTGACCCTATCCACATCCCTCTCCTAGCCATGCATAGTAGTAAACTATTTCCTCCTCCATACTACTTCTGCATCTTATCCTTACTTCCGCTGTGACATTATCAATTTATTTGTCTGTGTGGCTACAAAGCATGCAGCTGTATTCAATACATGTTTGTTGAAGAAAAATAAATCTTTCTTTTTCAGTAAAATTATCTCAACAAACCAGACTCATACTTGTACCTGAAGAATAAAAAGATCCTATCAAGAATGTAAAGCCGGGCTTCCCTGGTGGCGCAGTGGTTGAGAGTCCACCTGCCAATGCAGGGGACACAGGTTCGTGCCCCGGTCCGGAAAGATCCCACATGCCGCAGAGCGGCTAGGCCTGTGAGCCATGGCCGCTGAGCCTGTGCGTCCGGAGCCTGTGCTCCGCAACGGGAGAGGGCACAACAGTGAGAGGCCCGCGTACCACAAAGGGGAAAAAAAAAAAAAAAAAAGAATGAAAAGCCAACTCCAAAGAGTAAGAACAAGCTTTAAACAACTGTTATCCATTGTATAAACATACTGATTAAGCCTTCTGCTGGCTGCTAGGATTACAGAAATATAAGAAAGACCCACAGCCTAGACCAAGTGTTGGCAAACTATAGCCCATGAGCCAAATTAGCCTGTTGGTTTTGCAAATAAAGTTTTATTGGAACACAGCCACAATCACTGTTTACATATCGTGAACTGCTGTTTTAACATTACTACAGCAAAACTGAGCACCTGTGACATAAGACTGGTCCATAAACCCTGTAACATTTATTATCTGGCCCCGTGCAGAAGAAGTCTGCCAACCCCTGGCCTAGCAGGAATTCAAAGTCCGTGCAGATCTGAGAGCCAATGGTTTGAATATCCCTGGGGGAACAAAGGGAGGACGTCATCAAGCCTCCTAGATGAAATAGTTAGCTGAAACTCAAGTGAAGACTGGGAAACAACCTGACACACAAGTAAGAGAGAATGTTTCAGGTAGAGTAAATTATGTGGGAAAAGGGCTGGAGGGAAAAGGATACAGAGCATGTTTCAGTAACTGCAAGAGTTTAGTATTGTTAGAATGTAGTGTACAAAGTGGTGAAAGACAAGGCTGGAGAAAAGGGCATTATAAGCTGCATTTGCCAAGGTGAGGAGTTTGTATTTTTTAAACAAATACATCACTTTATGCTTATACTTGCTAGGAAAATCAAAATCAAACAAACACACACACAAAAAACCCCACCTCTGGAAGAATATACAAGAAACTAATAAGAAGAAGTTACGGAGGGAAAAGGGGTACTGAACACAGGACAGATAAAACTGGGGTCAGAGAGACTTTACTAAATACCTTTTTAAATTTCTTGTTTTTTAAATCACATGAATGCATTATCTATTCTAAAATTACATATTAATAAGTGTGGATTTTGTCATAAAGGAAATATTTTAGGAATTTAAATGAGAAGTGATAAGATTAAACAAGCAAACTGGATAGATTATTCTGTAGATGCAACACAAAGGAAAGCTGAAAGGAGCAGAGTAGTCAGGAAGCTACTGACAGACCACTGATTACTTAAAGCAAATACATTAACAATGTATTGTGAAGCTTACAACATATGAAGAAGTATAAAATGTATGACAATAGCGCAGAGGATGGAAAAGTAAAAGGAATTATAATATCATAAGATTTTTACATTTTTTTTAAAGTGGAATAACATTAATTGGAGGCAAAGTAGGATAAATTAAGGATGAGTACTACAATCTCTACATTAACCATTAAAAATAATAACAATACAAACAGGTTTAAATAAAAAGCTAAAAGAGAAAATTAAGTGGAATTTTAAGAAAAAAAATTTTTAAAAAGAAAAACTGTGATGAATTAAAAAAACAGATAGGAAGAGAGACACAAAGGAACAAAGAGCAGATGGGACAAAATGGAAAGAATTAGCAAACGGTAACATAAACCCAGCCATATCAGTAATGACATTAAATATAAATGTACTAAGCCAATTAAAGGACAAAGATTGTCATTCTGGATAAAAAACAAGACCCAACTATATGCTCTTTACAAGAGACACACTTTAAAAATAACAACACTGACAAATTCAAAGAAAATGGAAAGAAGAAGACAAATACTAATTAAACAAACAAACAAAAAAAGCCAGGACAGCTATATTAATATCAGAAGACTTCAAGACAAATTATTCCCAGAGCCCAGAGATAAAGAGGGATATTTTATAATGTTAAAAGGACGTTGCATAACAGACAAAACAATCCTATTGATAAAATGTCTGCACCCAATTAACATACTTAAAAATACATAAAGCAAAAATTAACTAAAAGGAAAAAACAGATAAATCCACTGTCATAGGATTAACTACTCACATAGAAAAAGCAGTTACATCAATATTGACATATACAACACATCAGAGTAGTTGCCTGTTGCTAAGAGTGGAGGGGAATAAGTAAATTTAAGTAACAGGAATAAGGGGAAAAATTAAAATTGAATTAAACAAAATGAAGCCTTACATAAACTGATGATAGGATTCCATATATTAAAGGTATGTGTACCTCAATTCTCTAGACATTAGATGAAAAGGGAAAATTAAGTAACAAATTTATTGGAAAATCCTAGTATTACAAATTTTTTTCTTACCAGCATCACTGTTAAATTCATAATTCTTCCAAGGCTATCAACATAGTAGACACTGTCTTGATACCATGAATCACAGTGTAGGTAATTATACATTCCAAAAGCATGCATGTGTTCCAGTGTATACTGATCATCTCGAAGTTTTACTTCTGCCACAGCTGAAATATAAGAAAAATAAACAAACATCAAGAGTTCTGCCTCAGATTGTTCTTTTCTGCAGAATGCCAACAAGGCAAAAAAATCACAGAATACTAATTACCAAGGCCTCAGGACAATTCACTACATTTTTCATTTCAAAAACAATTTCTGGGCCCCTACTAGGCACTGTGTGCAGAGGATAAACAGTGAGTAAAACTGACAAGGCCCCTGCCCTTACAGAACTCAGAATACAGTGGCCAGAGGAGATAGAGCTCTTCATACCACACTCTTTTCTTTTAGGTACCTCTTCCTTGTAATTATAAATAAAAAGGACAGAGAAATCATAAAATTGAAAGATTTCCTGTTTTCTGGGCAAATATTAAGTACACTTTATAAAGTGTGTGCTTTTTAAAATGCTCTACCTCTATCACCTCGTTCATTTTTTACCACACATTAAGAAATAAAGAGAATGTTTTTATTATCCCATAAAATAATTATGGAAATAAATGTAAGTGCAAATGGTGACTTCTCTAATGCTATACCACATCTTTCCCAAGAGTACAGAACAAAACAGTGATCATATCTGGAACAGAAACAAGGTTTCTTATTTAAAGAACAGTGTTTTTTCCACTAGGGCATTGGAAGCTTCCATAACTTTATTTTACCTTGTTCCAGCTTTATTGAGATGTAGTTGGCATATGACATTGTATAAGTTTAAGGTACACAACATAATGATTTGATATATGTATTTATTGTGAAATGATTATCAAAATAAGTTTACTTAACACAGACATCACCTCATAGTTACAACTGTTCTTCTAGTTATAAGAACTTTTAAGATCTACTCTCTTAGCTGCTTCCATCATTTTATGTTTCCTTTTTATTTATTTATTTGCTTATTTATTTTATTTTTGGCTGCATTGGGTCTTCGCTGCTGCGCACGGGCTTTCTCTAGTTGTGGTGAGTGGGGGCTACTCTTCGTGGCGGTGCATGGGCTTCTCACTGCGGTGGCTTCTCTTGTTGCAGAGCACGGGCTCTAGGCGCGCAGGCCTCAGTAGTTGTGGCATGCGGGCTCAGCAGTCGTGGCGCACGGGCTTAGTAGTCGTGGCGCACGGGCTTAGTTGCTCCGTGGCATGTGGGATCTTCCTGGACCAGGGCCCAAACCCTGGCAGATTCTTAACCACTGCGCCACCAGGGAAGTCCTGCTTCCATAATTTTAAATCTGCCAAGCCTGATCTCTGCCTCCCACTCCTCCTTCCCTTCTATGTAGAGAGAAACTTATAGTTCAGGGCTACCAGTGACCTAGAATTAATTTCTGCTCCAACAGGAGATACATAAGTAGACTATGCTGGGCCAATATTTTACCTTAATTATGAAGCTCACCTTACTGCATTCTGATTGCAAGTATTTTCATCTTTTTTCCCCAAATGCTCACCTGTTCGTACTTCTATTACCTGCCTTGAGGCCTGGCTGACTTACATTTATTCATTCATTTATTTAGCAAATATTTTAATAGGCACAAATGATACAATGATGAGAAAAGAGCACAGAATCTACCTTCTTAACACTTATGATCCAGTGGGGAAATGGACGTTAGTCAAATAAATAAATATATAATTAAACTGTAATAAATGTTATAAAGGAAAAGTATTGGATACTGTGAGAACAAATAACACTGGAAGCTGATCTACTTGGGGAGATTAAAGAAGGCTTTAAAAAATTTGAGCCAAGCTACAAAGGACAAGGTAGAGTTAAGAAACATCCCTACACACACACACACACACACACACACACACACACACACACACAAACTACTTATCACAGGCAAAATGAGAGCAGGCGAAAGTAGAAGGAAACACTTGTGTTCAAAAAACTAAAAGTCAGCCAGACTGGCTGAAATACAGAGCAACATGGAGAACTGCACAAGGAAAGGCAACAGGTGAATAAAGCTAGAGAACTGGGCAGAAGCTGGATCACAAAAGGCCTTGCCTTTATTTGTCATTGTTGATAAACTCAATGTAATAAGAGCTCATTTAAGAACTTTTAAGCAGGAGAGTAAAGTCCAGATTCGAATGTATAAAAGGTTGCTTATAGGGACTTCCCTGGTGGCGCAGTGGTTAAGAATCCGCCTGCCAGTGCAGGGGACACGGGTTCGAACCCTGGTCCAGGAAGATCCCACATGCCGCGGAGCAACTAAGCCCACGCGCCACAACTACTGAGCCTGTGCTCTACAGCCCGCGAGCCACAACTACTGAGCCTGCATGCCACAACTACTGAAGCCCGCGTGCCTAGAGCCCATGCTCTGCAACAAGAGAAGCCACTGCAATTAGAAGCCCATGCGCCGCAATGAAGAGTAGTCCCCGCTTGCCGCAACTAGAGAAAGCCCACGCGCAACAACGAAGACCCAACGCAGCCAAAAATAAAAAAATTAAAAAATTAAAAAAAGGTTACTTATAACTACCTATGGAAAACAGACCAGAGCAAAGCAAAGTAAGCCCAGGAAGATCCACCAGGAAGCTACTGCAGTCATCCAGGTAAAGGATGGTTGAAATTTGGAGACCTATCAGAGGTTAAATCATTTTAACTTTGTGATGGATTTGATAGAGGCTGAGGAAATTATTACATGACTCAAGGAAGTGTTTATTTTATAAGGAAGTTAAAAATACATATTCACTGATTAGAAGGGAAACAATCATTAATTCTTGTTTTTCTAGCACCACTGTGTGGATTCAACTCGATGCTGCAGGAAGTGTATGTGGTAACAGAATGTTCCAAAGCAGTAATATTAGGCAATGATACAACAAATACATTTTCTTCATATTTGTACCAAAGACCCCTGACCAAACCTGAACAAGCCAGAGACTTCTTAGCCATTTGCCTTGGTACAACACCTTGTCTGTAACTGTATTGATTCTGGAAAACCATTATTAGGAAACCATGAAATAGTCTAAGTCTTAGGTTGCTGCATTCTGACAAGATTAATTTATGTAGGTTATTAGGACACAAATGAAGGGCACATTACATACTTGCTATTTTGCAAAAGCTGACAGTGCTCAGAAAAAGGCCACCTCTCTGGCCCCAAATGAGAAAGGAAAAGTTATTGCATTTACCCTGTCAATCAACTTGAGTATAAAAGGGCAGGCAGAGAAAAATGAAAGGAGAAAAGCAATGTCCAGAATGTGACAGAGCTTAACCACTGATGGGGCTCTTTTGTAAAGACTAAGGGAGGGGTGGACAGCAGGGAGTCTCCAATCCAGCTTGATCTTTGATATGACTGAAGAAGAGGAACCTCTTTAACAGAGGGCTAAGAAGCCACTGTAGTAAAATATTTTATTAACATTATCTTACATTAGAAATAAAACAGCTTTGCTGAAAAAGCCTTCTCTCTTATTCTATGAAAAAGAACTTAGGGCCTAACAAAAAGGGAATCTCCCTTAATCTTTACCTATATTTCTTATAAAACATGCATGGAACCTCAAAAACCTATAGTTTTTCATTCACAAATTATTTATTGAATGTCTACTATGGGCCCGACATGGTGCTTGGCATTGGGCAAATACTGGTAAATAAAACAGACATGATCTCTGTGTCCTAATCGTGCTAACAGTGGTCACAATTACTGCTTCTTGTCCTTTCAAAATACACAGTTAGGTTGAACCACATGAAATTGTCAATATTCAACTCTTTTGACACCAACTGAATATGATTCAATCTAATACTTACATAAGTACAGTATTTTTTTTAAAGGAGGGGAAGGGCCAAAGAACGTTAACTCACAAAGGTCACTTCTTAGACCATTTATCTTCTAAAAATGATCAGTTAAGTCTTCTGTTCACCTAGTTACTGTGTTTGCTCTTTGCATATAAAGATGTAAAACAGCAAGAGTACAGGTTTGTATTAGTTCTGAAGCAAAATGTACAGAACAAGGCAGGGCTAGAATTAGCAGCATTGCTCCCGCTACTCTTCTATACAATGCTTCTGCACCATAACACAGCTTCTCTTCCCCAAATTTTCCTCCAGAAGAGTAGGCATGAATTTTATAGTAAACTTACATAAATAAGTTACATGGCTCTTCTCTCCCTTTATTCCAATTATAGCCTGAACCTTCGCCAGCTTTTATTCTCCCTGCCCTGAAGAAACAGCCCAGAGACCACAAAGTGCATTAGAAAAAGCATGAGCTGTAGGGTCAGGTTAGCCACTGATGGCTAAGGTTAAGTTACCTAACTTTCTACCCTGATTCCTCACCTGTAATAAAAGTTAATAATACTTATCCTGTGAAATTATTGACAAGTTTAAATTATGTGAAGTATTTGCTACGTGACACCTAAGAAAAAGAGTAAGTGTTAATCTCCCGGTTCCTCTTCTCCCTCCCAAGGCTAATTCTCACAGCTGTTTATGATTCCATTCTCTCCTGCCTCTTCTAGGCCTCTCCTCAGGTTATCTCCTCTCCACTGGCCCCTTCTCCTCCACTTAAATATGCTGAAAACTTCCCCACTCTCAAAACACATGAAAAAGATTTCCTCTTCTTCGCTCTGCACTCAAAGCAGAGCTCTCTCCCACCCTGTACTTCTCTAAAAAAGAGTCTACACTCCCATTTTCTCATTACCCTCATTAACCCATTTTAATTTTGTTTCTAGCTCTACCACTCTATAAAATTATTTTTCCCTTAAAAATATGCATTGAGCAGCCAAGATGGAATAATAGTAATCAGATTTATCCCTCCCTCAGAAACAACCAGTAAGACAAAATAAAATGAACCAGACAAAATTACATGAAACAATAACTTTCAAGACACAAGACAACAGGCAACAAAGGATAGTGATCGTTAAGAGATGAGAAACAAATGAGGTGAGCTCTACTACTGCCCCAGCTTAGTGCCATGAGTGAGTTTCCAGCCCACATCACAAAGAGGGGAAAGTGAGGTAGAACCTGACCAGCTCCCTGGGTTGAGATTTCTGAGCTGAAAGTCTGGGGAGACCAAGACAGCTACAGTTCATCGGACAGAGTACCAGAGAAGAGA